GGTCTTCTCTTTGGCTTACTTGTGATACAGACCAGAATCAAGTCTTCTCCCAGACTTGGATGTCACTTTTAATAAATGCGTAATTAGATCTCTGAAGGCTCTTGTTCAACGGGTATACTGCTGTACATTCTGATCCCCAAAGCAGCAGCCTGGCACCTCCTCACTGTTATGCAATTATAACACATCTTGGGCAGGATATGTCATGTAAGATTTCCAGGGGACAACTGGGGTTTGCTGAATAAGATTTTCCTGTTTGTACATATCTTTGCAAAGGGCTAAATCTTGATGATTTATCGGTATTTCAAAAGGTGGTTGTGCCTGTGGTATCTCCTACAAGGTAGTTTACATCCAGTCTAGCCAGCACATTGTGAATGGAATATTCCACTTGATGGTTCATGAGTGAACAAAATCAGCCAGGTTCGTTCACTCATGAACCACTCATGAACCAACTAATCAGGGTTAGTTTCCTGGGAGTTGTTCTCTAGAACTGCATCCTTCCAGAGCTGAAGTGGTTCAGTGTTTTCAAAGGGGTGGTTACCTCAACCCTGTGCCTTGGCTGGGAGAGAGCAGAGAATCTGGCCCAGCAGGACAGGATGGTGGGGAGACCCAGAGAGCAAGAAGGCAAATGTCAGTGGCATAATCAGCCCCCTAGGGAACAACCTCACCGGGTCTTCTGTAACCAAACCCCATCACACACTTCTTATTTACAATCACTTCAAGTCTTTGTGTACTTTGTAAATCTGAGGTAAATTTTTTAACATGAAACAGTCACTCTCCAACCCCTGGCCACCTCATCTCCCACATCCCCACTGTTCCTCCTGGCCCAGGACCCCCTGGAGACCTCCCAACAAGAAAGGCTGGAAAACATGGCCCAGCCCAAAACCGCTTGTAGGACACTTCTTATTTACAATCACTTCAAGTCTTTGTGTACTTTGTAAATCTGAGGTAAATTTTTTAACATGAAACAGTCACTCTCCAACCCCTGGCCACCTCATCTCCCACATCCCCACTGTTCCTCCTGGCCCAGGACCCCCTGGAGACCTCCCAACAAGAAAGGCTGGAAAACATGGCCCAGCCCAAAACCGCTTGTAGGCCAGGGGGGGGCGTGCTGGAGGCTGGAGGGAGCCCCAGAAGATGGGGCCAGCTTCCAGGTTCTGCTCCCTGCCCCAGATTGCCTGCAGATTGTGGGGGCAGATGGAGACCAGCCACAGCCCCCTGAGTCTCCCCCCTGAGAAGAGCCCATGGAGCCTTGCCCCTCACACATGTTGCAGGCCATGGGGAAGGCACTGAAGAGTGAGGCCAGTCCCTGGACCCTTTGCCCTTTTCCCAGGGCGGGGACTACTGAAGCCAGGCCTGACCCCGGAAACATCACCAAAATCCGCCAAAAGGCTGAGACCAATCTCCAGAGCCTGTCCCCCTCCCAGGAGGATTTTATATCTGAGAAGCACAGCTCCAGCTCCATGGAAGGAGCCGCCAGCCAGAGCTGCTGCTGAAGATGCACTACCCTCACTGCCAGAAATAACCCAGTAAGATCTTCTGCCCCCAGCCCGCCATCCCCGGCCCACAGTCCTGCACCACCCTCTTCCCTGAGTCCTGCACTCCCTGCCAAGAGTCCTCCACCTCTCTCTCCTGCCCTGAGCCCCCCACATACCAAACCCTGAGCCTGAATCCTCCAGCTCTTGCCTTCACTCTGGGACCCTCCAAACCCTGCCTTGAGGCCTCCAGTGTTCCCATCCTCCCACCCTGATTCCTGCACCTCACCTCTACCCGAAGGCCCCCCACTCCTGCCCTAATTCGAGCACTCCTACCCCCTTCCCTGAGCCCCACTGAACCATGGGCCTTCAGCCCCCCATACCCTGCCTCACCACCTACCATGGGCCTCCCCACACCTGCCCAAATTCCGGCACTCCCACCTTCTGCTCTGAGCCCCCCCTCCAATGCCAAAACCCCTACCCAGGATTCTGCACCCCCTGCCTGGAACCCTACACACCAAACCCTGTGCCCTCAGCTTCCCCACCACTTGTACTCACTCAAGCATCCTCCACTCCCTGCCCTGACACTCCCCAAACTGAACATCCCCCTGCCCTCACTCCTGCACCCCAACCCTTTTTTATTCTTGTAAAAGACGCATAAGCTGCAAATTTTGTCTAGTCATGGGTTCTAACTAATGTTTGAATCACGTTCCTTCTTTTTGAATACCAACTTTTCCCCCTTCATTTTTGAAAAAATTACCGCCCTTTAGCTAAAGCATGTACAGCAGGGGTGGCCAATCTATTTAACAAAGGGAGCCAAAACAGCAGTGGAACAAATGTGAAGAGCCACACCAGAATTGTCAAGCAAAAGAAATTTTTTTTTTAAAAAAAGGAGGCTGCCCCTTTAAGACTGCCGCCATCTTGGGCACCATTTTTTAAACCCCAAGGCTCCGACCTGGTAAGCACAGGGAAGTTGGGGGCCAGAGGGGAGCCAGCAGGGGGCGGGGGCCATTTGGAGGAGGTGCAGGAGCAGCTTTGCGAGCTACACTTTTGGGTGGCAAGAGCCGCATGTGGCTCATGATCCACGGGTTGACCACAACTGATGTACAATTTCTTTTTATTCTCTAGACAGCCCCCACAACCCCTTACTACACTTGGGACCCAAGCAACACCAGGTATATCTGTTAGTATTCTGGTAACAAAATGAACACTGTGCAGTTTCAGTATAGCACAAGTGAAGAGGATTGATAAGGATCTTCTGATGCCTTGTGTCTTTCATAATGGACACTCCTATGAATGTTTCATCTACCATGTGCATGTAAAATAGCCTGTGGGTGTTTCTCCAAAGCAAACACATTTGAAATACTGTTCTATCATCAATATTCATAAAGTTCGGTACAAAAGTGAAGCATGTAAATAGGGGAATCATATTCAGAAGAAGGAAAAGTGGGGGGGGGGGGCGGATGGCCAAGAAGAGGCAGTGGGTAAAAAATATCAAGGGGAAAGACGAGCTGGAATGTAATAGAAAAAAAAACAAATGGTTTCTAATAACCAAAAATCTGGATAGTCAAAAGAGGCAGATAAGAACCATTAATTACAAACAACAAATGGTCAGGTGGCACTTAAAGACTGACAAAACATGTAGATGGTATCATGAGAGTCTACATAGACAAAGAACCATTCTTGCCTTCCTTGTTCGGTAAGTTGATCATGACCCATTATCAACCTACGATTCTTTGTCTATGTAGAATCTCATTATTTAGAGAACTCCTAAATTACCTGCCAAAAAATTAGAAGCTGAGTTCTTAAACAGACCCTTGAATCATAGTTAAAATCGACACCACCACGAAAATCTGATATGTCTCCCTTCCAGCCGGGTGGAGAAGAGACATGGAGATGACCCAGTGAGCAACAAGGGGAAGGGAAGAAAAAAGGAACCACTAGGGGCGAGCCTTGTGAGGGGAAGACACAGAGCAGACGTGGGACATTGGGGCCCAGTTACAGGTGATTAGACAGGTGTCAACTCAGAGAGTTGTTCATAGACCGATTCCACAGCTTGTCACACTAAGACATAGCTAAGTCAGGGAAGAGTTTCATGTCTCTCTGATTGGCAGTCAGTGATTCAGAGAAGAGGGCCCAACACCATGTGAGAAGCTAGCTCTGTACAGAGCTCATGCTGAGAGCCAGAGCACCAGGAGAAAACTTTAGGGCCCTTTATTAATAAAGAGCCAGAGGATCCTATTCCGGATCTGTTTGGTCCTCACACCGAAAATGATGGGGTTTAACATGGGGGGCACAAGGAGGCACACGTTGGCAAAGAGAACATGAAAATTCAGGGCCACATTGTGACCAAACCGGGACACAAGGACGGAGAATACACCTGGGATGTAAAAGGCTAAGATAGCAAAAAGGTGGGAGCCACAGGTCCCAAAAGTCTTGAGCCGGGCGTCCTTGGTGGGGAGGCTGAAGATGGCCCTGAGGATCTGGGTATAGGACACAGTGATAAAAAACATATCCAGACCCATCACCAAGTTTGCCACAAAGAGGCCATAGTAGCTACTGATGCGGGTGTCAGCGCAGGCCAGATTCACCACAGCCATGTGTTCACAGCAGGTGTGGGGGATGATGTTGGATCTGCAATATGGCCACTGCCTGGCCAGCAAGGGACAGGGTAGTGTGACCACGCCACCACGCAGCAATATGGCCAGTCCAATCTTTGTGATGATGGAGTTTCTCAAAGTAGTGGAATGTCTCAGGGGATCACAAATGGCCACGTAGCGATCAAAAGCCATGGCCATGAAAATCCCAGATTCCATAGCAAAGAAGCAGTGAATGAAATACAGCTGGGTGATGCAGGCATTGAAATTTATCTCCCTGGAATTGAACCAGAAGATGCTCAGCATTTTGGGCAGGGTGGACGTGCACAGGACCAGGTCGGTGACAGCCAGCATGCAGAGGAAATAGTACATGGGCTCGTGGAGACTCGACTCCATCTTCACGATGAACAGGATAGCAAAGTTTCCCAAGAGGGCCATGGCATACATGGTGCAGAAGGGAATGGAGATCCATACGTGGGCTGCCTCCAGGCCAGGGATGCCCAGCAGGATGAAGGTGGAGGGGTGGGTGAAGAAGGTTGTGTTGGACTCTAACATTTACCAGGGTAGCAGATTTCTAAGTTTCAGTAACAATAGAGTATTTCCATGTACCATATGTTCCCCCGTGTTCCTGTACTTGCCCAGAGTCTAGGGTGATGGTCACAAAGCAAATGCCTGGATGGAGAGAAAATGTTAATGTAAGACTCCGCATGCATCATTGTAGTATGTTGTCATGGGTGAAGCAGAATTGTCTCTCTTCACACAGAAAAATGAGATTATCTTTATTCAGAAAAATGAATTATGGAAAACTTTCATTCTACTAATGCCAATTACATTTTCATTGAGCTCCTTGCATCAATCATTCCTACTCTTTGTGTTGCAGGAAATCTTAAAAGGCACCGGCAAGAGACATGAGTGTGTATTCTCATTAGCCATCATTCTTCCTTAAAATGAAAGCCAGGTTAGAGAGTCCATGGCCATGGTGAAATAGACTGTGATTTCTCTGAGGCTTTCGAAAAATAATTGAACTCCATGGGACACATCCAATCTGATACAGTGTCATTAACACTGATCCTACAATTGGCAGGTGACTGCTTTTGCTTTTATATCTACCCAGGAGTCTATAATTTCCACGTTGATTCATCTGAGGAAGTGGGATTTACCCACAATAGCTCAAGATATTTTTCATAGAATCCTAGAACACTAGAACTGGAAGGGACCTTGAGAGGTCATCAAGTCCAGTCCCCTGTTCTCATGGCAGGACCAAGCATTGTCTAGACTATCCCCCATAGATATGTCTTACCTGCTCTTAGATATCTCCAGGGATGGAGATTCCACAACCTCCCTGGGCAATTTATTCCAGTGTTTAACCACCCTGACAGGTAGGAAATTTCTCCTAATGTCCTACCTAAACCTGCCATTCATTAGTCCCTGAGCTGCCACCCAAAATCTTGTTGTTTTTCAGCATTAGTAGAGCCCACGCTAAATGGACTGAAAACTAACTGACCGATCTCAGAGGAGAGTTGTCAACCGGAATGCAAAGGGGAACAGGGCCGTTTGTAGCTGGGTTCTGCTTGGATCCATTCTAGTCCTGATACAGTGAAGAAGCTAGGGAAGAGACACGAATTGCTATGGCACCTTTGATGAATTGGGCCATGCTTGACAGTCAGAGTCTAAAAGAGCTTCCTCCATTTCACTTCTCAAAAAGATGATTAAGCTGGGACTATCATGGGAAGAAAACCATGGTACTAACGGCCCTGAAATCTAGCAGAGAAAGGCAGAGCCAGGGGGCTGGACTTGATGACCTCCTGAGGTCTCTTCCAGCTCTAGGAATCTATGATTCAATGGCTGGAAGATGAAACAAATTCCAGTTGGAAATAAGGGCCAAATATTTAGCACTGAAGGGCTACATCTACTCTGCCCAGTTATTTCAGAATAAACTACTCCAGATTAGTTATTCCGAAATAGCTTATTTTGAAATAGCAGGTCTACATTGCAAGAAAGCCTCAAAATTAGTCCAAGATAGGCTCCCGTAATGTAGACGTGCTATCTATAGCTCCAAGAGGAATAACTTAGAATGGCCCTGGTGAGGGGCTATTTCAAAATAGCAGAAGTGGAGCATCTACACATGCCTTATTTTGAAATAGCTATTTCAGAATAGGCGTTATTCTTTGTAGAATGAGGTTTACAGAAGTAGGAATAAGCTGTCTGTTATATCAGAATTATTTTGAAATAACAGAATTGCTGTGTAGATGCTCGCATTGTTATTTAAGAATAAAGGCCATTATTCCAAAATAACTTTGGCTTACCTGGGTGGTCGACAAATACCTTTGATGTCGACACCTGCGCGTCCAGACTATCGTGCTGAGCTGACAAACAGCTGATCAGCTGTTTGTCGGCTCAGTGCGGCAGCCATGTAAATTTAAATGAAGCGGCGATTATTTAAATCGCCACTTCATTTTACTATGTCTGGTAGCCTAATCTACATGCCTCTGGTGACAGAGGCATGTAGTCTAGATGTACCCTAGGAGAAGACACAAGAGCAGACTTCAAACACTTGAAAGGCTTCCATGGACAATGTGGAGGGGAGTTGTTCTATCTTGCTGCCAAGGGCAGGGCAAGAGTCAGTGGGTTCAAACTACAGCACGGCAGATTGAATTGAAATCTCAGGACGAACAGCCGGAAGAGAGAGAACAGTGGGTCAAAGGAACAGACGCCTGGGAAGGCTGTTTGATCTCCTTCGTGGATGTGATCCAAAGGAGGCCATCAGTGTGGGATGACTAAGACCCAACAAATCCTGTATCTTTCTTGCTGGGGGTCGTATTAGGTGACTCTTGCAGTCCCTTCATGCCCCATGGCTCTGTGACTCTACCGGATGAAACCATAGTGTAGATCAGGTCTTAACCAGCCACAAGCTATCGAGCTCAATAAAGAGAGAACTGGGTAAAATGTAATGACCTGGGTTATACGGAATTCAGACTGTTGGACTTAATGGTCCCCTCTCAACTTAAACCCTATGAATCTATCAATAAAGGAAACAGATGAGCTATTTATATTTACTGAGTAGTAAAACACATAAGGAAACAAGGGAATAAACAATTACACTGAAAATGTAGGTATAATATTGAGGAAAGAGAACAGATTGCATAATTCACATTTAGCCTGTGGAACTCCTTGCCACAGGCATTATTGGGTAGAAGAGTGTGGCTGAATGGGACTCACAGATGAGACCCACAAATGAGGCCACTGTGCAGCCGCACCTCCTTTACCTAAGGCTGTCTGACACTTTCATCTCATAATCTGTTGCTTCTACGTTTGTCAAACTTTAAGGCTATGTCTACACTGGCATGTTTTTCCGGAAATGCTTTTAACTGAAAAGTTTTCCGTTAAAAGCATTTTCGGAAAAGCACATCTAGATTGTCAGGATGCTTTTCCGCAAAAGCACTTTTTGCGGAAAAGCATCCGTGGCCAATCTAGATGAGGTTTTCCGCAAAAAAGCCCCAATCGCCATTTTCGTCATTGGGGCTTTTTTGCGGAAAACAATAATGCTGTCTACACTTGCCCTTTTGCGCAAAAGTCTTTCGGAAAAAGACTTTTTCCCAAACAGGAGCAGCATAGTATTTCCGCAAGAACACTGACAATCTTACATGAGATCGTCAGTGTTCTTGCGGAAATTCAAGCGGCCAGTGTAGACAGCTGGCAAGTTTTTCCGTAAAATCACAGCCTAAATGTCTGGGCTAAAATTTCCCTTGCTGGGTGTCTGTTTGCAATTTTTTGAATGTTTCAAGGCTGAGAGTGCAGCTGGCTCTTGAAAGAGGACGGGAGAGACAATGCCTTGCTCATGTTGAAAAATCCGTATAATTTTTCTAGTAAGGAGCCTTTGCACATCCAGGCTTTCCAGCAGATAAAAGTCAGGATCCCCCCCACCCCCCCACACACCTTTAATTACCAAAGCCCTGAAATTCAGGGGGAAGAGGTGACAATCTGTGCAGTAACACACACCCGGCTCCTAAGATATTTATTCAGTCCTTGCTAAACCAGAAGGTTTTCCTCAGTGAGGCCTGAGAAAACTACATGCCACAGCCTCAGAATTCCTCTGCTAATCTACTAACGCCTTTCACCCTGAGGGAACCCCTCTGCCATTGAAATGTAGCCAACAAGGGGCTGGAGGCCGTCAGCCAGGGTGGGCAGGAATGAAGGGACCAGGGTGAGGTTCTGTCCCATGACACTGAAGCAAACACATCCCCTGGGATGTGTAGTGCCTGTGCAGCGTGGAAAGCTCCGCAGACTGACTCTATCCCCCTCACACTCACGTCGCCCTGAGTTCCTTGAGCAGGGGAGCTCCTCAGCTGGAGATGGTACCTGTGAGCGCTGAGAGGGAGCTGCCTTCTCTGAGAATCACCTCAGGCAGCCACGTGCCCTGCATCTGCCGTATCATCCAACACGGGGAGCTGCGTGACATTTATAACAGAGCCCTGTGCAATCCCGGGGGTGGGGGGGCGACTCGCTCAGCCTGTTGGTGCATATATGCTAATTGCCCATCTTCAAGAGCAAACTGTAATTAAGGGGATGACTCAGAGGAAAAGAGAACTCTTGGGCTCCGTGCTGAGTCACAGGGGAATTGGCTGCTCTGAGTACTTGTATATATTAAAAATATAGTTAATTGATATGGAAGCCATGGTTAATATTAGCTCTCCATAGGGCCTGAGACCCTGTAAGTGCCAGGATGGCTGGGTAGATTGTAGGAAGAGAGATCTGGCTGAAGTTGACTGTAATAAAGGATGTCTGGGGAACACTTCTCAAAGGGTCTATTCAGAGCAAATTGCTTAAAGACAAGGGTACTTACAGTGCAAACCGGTCGATAAGAGCACTTCCATTCACTACATGGGCTAGCAAGAAACCGTGCAAGCAATAGACAGTACTCCTGTGTCCTCACCAGGACCAATCCATATACGGAGGAGAGGTTGTGAAAACCATCCCCAGCAAATGAAAAGGTTCTTCTGCTCCCAAAGGACCAGCCATATTTCCAGGTCAATGTATAACCTTACCAAATGACAAAGCTCTTACCCAAAAAGCACACTGACGGACAATCGTTTGCAATCTACAATTAAAAGGAAGAAAGAAAGAAAGAAAGTTACAATCATTAAAGGAATCAAATACATACATCTATTGCAAAGTTCTTAGTGAAGGTTTGTAGCAGTGATAGAGTAAACTGCTGGCTTAAGTCAACTCACCAGAGTACATCCACCATTAGGATGGGTTGTCACTCCTTCATTCGAGCTTCAGCTCAGAGCAAAGTTCCTCTAGAGGTGAGAAGTCGGACTGAGTTAAAAATGAAGAAACCTCTAGGGCCCATTATACTTTCTAGGCCACATGGAAGGAATTATTTTGTTCTTTGCAGAAAAATACAAGTAGAGAATGGAGTTTGTCACATGAGCAAGTCAGTTGTCCATGCATGAAACAGTTTTTTACATGTGGAGACCACTGCTCCTATGCTGGTCAGAACATTCACAGAAAAACTCACCAGATGTGGATTGGCATCACTCCAGGCCCACTGT